TTATAACGGAGTGGGGTCAATGCGGGTAGTTCTTCGTCTTTAAATATCCGCGAACGGATCAGGAAGCGGAAGCCCAATGGTATCTCCAATGAAAAGCTGGAACCCCTGCCGGGCGTTACATCCAGGGTAAGCTCAGAATATTGCCAATACTCAAACTGGTCTTTGGCCATCCAGAACTCACAGTTATAAACAGTACCCAGGCATACATCACTGCCGCCCACCTTAAAGTCACCCTTTTCAAAACACATCGGCTGCGACCCGTCGCAGCAACCGCCGCTCTGGTGAAACATCAGCGGGCCATGTTTGGCACGTATTGTATCAATCAGCTCAGCCGCCGCTTCTGTTGCCAGTACTCTTGGTATCTGCTCCATAATCAGAAAATTTAAATAAAGGAACACCATCGCATTGGGATGGTGTTCCGGTCAGCAATTCAGCCTTTAGAAGAAGCCCAGCTTTTTCTTATCGTAAGAGATCAGCATATTCTTGGTCTGCCGGTAATGCTCCAGCATCATCTTATGGTTCTCACGGCCAAAGCCAGATTTTTTATAACCGCCAAATGGCGCATGTGCCGGGTATGCATGATACTGGTTTACCCATACACGGCCTGCCTGGATAGCACGTGGCACTGTATACAGCTCATGCGCATCCCGGGTCCATACGCCGGCACCCAGGCCATACAATGTATCGTTGGCAATGGCAATAGCCTCTTCGGTAGTTTTAAAAGTAGTTACGCAAACAACCGGCCCGAAGATCTCTTCCTGGAAAATGCGCATCTTATTGTTGCCTTTAAAAATGGTGGGCTTGATATAATAACCACCTTCGAGCTCACCTTCCAGCTTGTTGGGTTCACCGCCGGTCAGCAACTCCGCGCCTTCTTCCTTACCAATGCTCAGGTAAGAAACGATCTTTTCATACTGGTCATTAGAAGCCTGTGCGCCCATCATTACCGTGCCATCCAGCGGATGCCCGATCTTAATAGCTTCGGTACGTTCAATCACCCGCGACATGAACTTGTCATAAATGCTTTCATGAACAAGGATGCGCGATGGGCAGGTACATATTTCCCCCTGGTTCAACGCAAACATCACCGCACCTTCAACGGCCTTGTCAAAGAAATCATCATCGGCATCAGCCACCGAAGGGAAGAAGATATTGGGTGATTTGCCGCCCAGCTCCATGGTCGCCGGAATGATGTTCTCAGATGCATATTGGAGGATCAGCCGGCCTGTAGTCGTTTCCCCGGTAAAGGATACCTTGGCAATGCGGGGCGATTGTGCCAGTGGTTTGCCGGTTTCCAGGCCAAAGCCGGTTAAGACATTCAGCACGCCGGGCGGCAGGATATCGCCAATCAGTTCCAGCAGCACCATGATGGAAGTCGGCGTTTGCTCGGCAGGCTTTACCACTACACAACAGCCGGCGGCCAGTGCCGGGGCAATTTTCCAGGTAGCCATCAGGAGCGGGAAGTTCCAGGGGAATGATCAGCCCCACGACGCCCAACGGTTCGTGTAATACAATGCTCACCGTATGCTCATCATGTTCGGATATGCCACCTTCTTCACCACGGATAACACCGGCGAAATAACGGAAGTGATCCACTACCAGTGGTAAGTCTGCTGCCCTGG